ATATATATATATATATATATACATATGTATATGTATATATATATATACACACACAGAAATCAAAAAGAATAAAATCTTGCCATTTGCAACTATGTGGATGGAACTGGAGGGTATTATGCTAAGTGAAATTAGTCAGAGAAAGACAAAAATCATACGACTTCACTCATATGAGGACTTTAAGAGACAAAACAGATGAACATAAGGGAAGGGAAACAAAAATAATATAAAAACAGGGAGGGGGACAAAACAAAAAAGACTCATAAATATGGAAAACAAACAGAGGGTTACTGGAGGGGGTGTGGGAGGGAGGATGGGCTACATGGGTAAGGGGCATTAAGGAATCTACTCCTGAAATTATTGCTTCACTATATACTAATTTTGATGTAAATTTTAAAAAATAAAAAATAAAGTTAAATAAAAAAAAAAAAAAGTATAAACAACCCAAACATCCATTAGCTCTGGTGATGAATCAACAGCATGTGATGTGCCATCAATTGAATGTCATTCAGCCAAAAAGGAATGAAATATTAAAACCCACTACACCATGGATGAACCTGGAAAACATGATGCTAAGTGAAAGCAGCCAATCACAAAAGGCCACATATCAGATGATTCCATTTATATGAAATTTCCAGAATAGGCAGACTCACAGAGACAGAAAGTAAATGAATGGTTACCAAGGATGTACGAAAAGTGACTGCTAACAGGTGTGGGGTTTCTTTGGGAGGTGATAAAAATGTTCTAAAATTAGACAGTGATGATGGTTGCACAACAATTCTGTGAAAATGCTAAAAAAAAAAAAACCCACTGAATTGTATTCTTTTACAAGCCAAATTTTTATTTTATGTGAATTATAATTAATAAAGTGGTTATTTATTTAAGATGGAAGAGTGTGTATTTCTGAGATCCCCTGTGGAACTGTACCTCTAATTTTTTTCTACAACTTTCTCATTTTCCTGAAACATCTTTTCAAAGCCATGTCACAATCTCAGAAGAAAATGAAATGAAAAGTCTGACCGTGAGTCTTGATGTTGCCAAAGCTAAATTCCAAGCAGAGGCTGGACCCGTGAGCACCAGCGGGCACAGCAGAAAGAACACAAGGGGGTCTGGCTCTGCATCCTGGGGCAGCCACCTGCTGCTTCTGTGACCTCAGCAGGTGGTGCCTGGACACAGAGTTTTAAAAACATTAAATGAGCTACATCTAGGTGAAATATGTCTCAGCCAGGCAGAAATGAATCTTCTTAAAGGGACATTTGTGGGACAAAGGTTGTTCACCCATTTGCTCATTCAAGGCATCTGAATCTTGACCACAAGGGACCGGCTGACTCAGATGTCCCTCTGTAATAAAGCCAGAGGGACTCTATAACCCAGGAAGTCTTAAGGTCACAGAAGAATTCATTCAGAAAGACCAAGGTCATTCCCTGGGGTGAGGGCACAATACAGTTCAGCATGCAATTTCAACATCATGATGTTTAACCAACTATAAAAGTCTTAAAGTCTATAAAATCATCCCCACTTCAAAGAAGAGAAATTGAGTCTTAGGGAAATCAAATGATTGACTCCAGATCACTCAACTAGAAACTGGCATTGCTGGGGCTAAACCCACATCTCCAGCCATACAC